GGGAGGTGGGGGGTAAGAAACTAACAGGGGGGGAAGAAACTAACAGGGAGGGGGGAAAGAAACTAACAGGGAGGTGGGGGGAAGAAACTAACAGGGGGGGAACTAACAGGGAGGGGGGAGACATTGACAGGGAGGGGAATTGACGGGGAGAGAGAAATTGACAGGGAGGGGGGAGTGACAGGGGAGGGAGGGGGAATGAAAGTAACAAGGGAGGGGGGAGAGATTGACATCCATCACACACACACACAATCACACACAATGCACCCTTACACACAAAGACAATGAACCCCTTGCACACAGAAAAACACACAATGCATTACACACACACACACACACACACACACACACACACGCAATGCAACCCTTACACACAATGCATCCCTTACACACACAGAAACACACAATGCATTCCTTACACACACTCAATGCACCCCTTAAACACACTCAAAGCACCCCTTACAGACTCACACACTTCATCCCTTACATACACAGAAACACACCTTGCAGCCCTTACACATACAAACACAGATTCACACAATGCATTCCTTACACACAAATCAGGACATCCCCTACACACTCCACCCCCTGTGAACAAACTCATTGGTGGAAAATGAAGGTGGACCCTGGGACCCAGACCTTGAGCTGTGTAAAGGGCCCCCAAAAAATGGAGCTGCTTCTCGTTCTCCCAGAACATTGATTTTTGTGACCACAGTTACAAACAGCCTCCAGAGATCCTGTTATACACCAGACCAGTGGAGCCAGACTGCAGCTAGAGCCCATCATCATCCTCATCCACTTGTAAGTAGGTAATCTAGTATATTATTCATGGCACTAATCTCTAATTTACCTCACATTAAAGAAACACTATAGTCCCCAGAACCACTGCAGCTTAATGATGTGGTCCTGGTGTCTATAGCCTGTCCCTGCAGGCCTTTTAATGTAAACACAGCGGCACTGCAGCACTAGCGTTAGTTAACATGGCAGGTCATATGGGTGGGGCATTGTGATGTCATGGGGGGCGGCAAACTTTACTTTTGCCTAGGGCGGCAAAAATCTTTGCACCGGCCCTGGATACGTGATAGCGTCTATCATAAGCGATCAATAAGTCAGCGTTAGCAAAAGGTGGGTACTTTTTTTTAAAATTATTATTATTATTCCCCCCCTCCCCTTCTTCTCCCCCCCTCCCCTCCCCCAAATGGACGTGTGATGACCCTATAGCTTTTAGGGTAGGGAGTGGTTGTGATTATGTCCTCTCTCTCTCTCCACTTCCCTCTCCTACCTTACGTGTTGTCACCTATCGGTCAAGAGTGTCTATGCACGCGCGTCTCAACAGGCTATGTCTACCGTTCCCCCGGCATCCTCTCCCTCCCCCGCCTCTTAGGTTTTGTCACTAATCGCTCCACATGTATCCACTGGGCCCAGTTAGCGGTCCTTATCTATGTTCCAGGCTCATAATCCGCCCTATCGCTTGGTCATCTCCAGCTCTCCCCCTATACATTTGCAAGTAACAACAATACACAGCATTCATATCGACATTAAGTAGGACCTTGGTGGTATACTGCATGTCATCCTTAAGTAGGACCTTGGTGGAAAACCTTGTGTGTGTTCAGATGCGATGGCGTGACTTGGGGGTCACCTGCGCTTCAATCAGGACCAAGTGAGGCACCCCTCATGTATTCCAGGACCGGGCCTTATGTCCCATAAGAGTATCCCATAGCGGATCCGGGCAAGCGGGCCAGTGGCGTCAGAGAGATCGTGCTCTCCCTCCCCCCCTGATCCCTTACCTCCCAAAAGTTTCAAGAGGATGCAAACGACCGCAGAGGAGGGGACTTTGACACCCTCCGGATTTCCAGCTTCCGCCTCCCCCAAAGGAGTACCGGGGAGGCCCCCCCATAGTGGGCAAAATATTGGTCATACGATATGCAGCCTTCAGGTCGTGTGTGGAGTGTTGCCAGAGCATGTTGGGCAAAGCTTGGGTTTCAGCATGTAACGGGAGGTCCATATACTGTAGCCCTAAGAAGCGAGGTTATGACCTGGCCCCCCCCCACCCCTGTCCCATTAACCTCAACTCTTGGTAGTCCTGAACATATTTGATCGGTCTTCAACCCCCTCCCTCCCCCGTTATCACCCTCCCAAAAGAGTCATTATTGTGGCTATGTACATGTGTGGAGAGGACATAGGCTGGTATTATGTCTTCCTTCCCCGGGCAAACCTCCAGGCAGTCTTGTGAGGTTCCCCCCAGCATCTGGACTCTGTTGTGTGGGGAGGGCCTGTGTGTTAATCAGGGATGGTGTGTTACCTTTCTGGGCGCTGCCAAGGGCTGGTCTCCATCGTGGTGTTAATGTACTCACACAGCCTGCTCCCCACGTCCCATGCGTCTCCGTGGCGGTGGTCCCGGTGGTGATCGTCCCCCCCGTCTGCGAGGTGCTCTTTGTTGCCTGTGTCCAGGCCTTGAGGTATCCAGGACCCAGTCATTAAACGGGATATTAGGTAAGTTCAAGGTCTCGAGGCGTCTCGGCACTTCATCAGGCCACCTAGCTGCTATCCAGCTATCTTGATATCTAGCCATTAAGGCGAAAGGGAATCCCCATTTATACTTGATGTTGTGTTCACGCAGTGCGGTGGTTACCGGCTTGAGTGCTCGCCGGGCTTCCAGCGTGTATGGAAAGAGGTCATTGTAGAGGGACACTTGGGCTCCATGGAAGGGCCATGTGGGACATTCCCGGGCTTTCCGCATTATCGCATCTTTGACTGGGAACGAGTGCAGGCAACAGATCATGTCTCTTGGGCCATCCTCAGTGGAGCGCGGGCGCAGGGCCCCATGTGCCCATTCAAATTCAATCATTTGCGGTGCATCGGTGTGTAGGATGTTGCGAAATAGGCCTGCCAGTACCTCTTCCACGTTCTCTCCCTCTTCAGCTTCGGGAATCCCCCTTATCTGTATGTTGCATCAGCGGCCTCTATTATCAATGTCCTCTAGGCTTCTGCGCATATGGAGAATCATGTCCCCCTGTCTGGTTATGGCGGTGTCCGTCGCGTTAATTCTGGCGGAATAAGTTTCCGAGGTGTGCTCTAAAGTCTGGATGCGGCCTGCTTGAGCTGTTACCTCCGTGCGGAGCACCGCCATCTCTGCCCGTAGGGCATCTTGAATAGTG